GGGAGGGTGGATCCTCACGTATGAGTGAGTCCGGGGATGGAGTCTCGACATTCCTTGCACCCAAGGTATCTGCTGGTGGATCAACCTTGTATACCTGTATATATATATATATATATATATATATATATATATATATATATATATATATATATATATAATATATATATATATATATATATATATATATATATATATATATATATATATATATATATATATATATATATATATATATCCCTCAAAAGCTGTACTCCACTAGAAGGAAACTATCCACCTGTCTCGTAAAAATAATATGTATTTTGTATGTCCAAGTCTTTTCTTTTCACATTATCATTTAATTGAGGGTCAGAGATCTTCTGATCAATAGGCTAATTTCAGTACTGGTGTCCACTTCTGTCTCTTTATTTGCGACTAATTTCTTCATCATAAAATGCAGAAAGTTCAGCCTTCAAAATGATCCTAAATTCAGCTTTTAGCCGTAAGATGATAATCCTTCAAACATTAGATTTTTTTTTTTAGATTGAAGTTAACCATTTTTTTTTTTTTTTTTTTTTTTTTTTCGATGAATTTCAACCAACACAAGTGATTCCAATTCATTCTTTTGAAAATGGAAGCAAATTCTGGTTTCCACGAAATGATCTTTAGCATGTGTTAGAATATAAAAGGTCTTTATTTGCCGCATGCATGGCACATATCATAATAAAATATGCGGAGAGGTTTTTATCAGTTATTCAGTTCAGTGAGTTATAATAGGAGGAAAAATAAACGACAATTTAAAGAATATTTTTATAGAGAATAAGGTAAGATCAAAATCAAAGAAGCATAAAAAATCATTATATATATATATATATATATATATATATATATATATATATATATATATATATATATATATATATATATATATATATATATATGCATATATACATACATATATACATGTATGCATATATACACATATATTAAGCATATATACATACATAGACTCAAACATATATAAAACATATAAAACAGTACATCTGCTATGAAAGTATCACATCTGGATCAGAATATCATGATTATTACAGCATCACTTTAAAGAGCACATTATCAGCCAAACAGGGTTGCTTATGTATATATTTCTATTTTACTCTCTCGCGGGAAGTGAGAGGAAGAGCTGTTTGATCTTGAACAGAAACTAAGGCAGTGTGTTTGAGTGTGTGTGTCAACGGAAGATTGGAAGAAAGAAGGGGGAAGATTAGTGATAAAGATAGGAAGAGAGGGAGGGTGGAAAACAGAGAGAGAAAAAAAACTGATTGTGTTTTACCGGAAGATTGGTAGGAACGGAAGAGGAGGTTGGAGAGAGACAAAAGATTGGGTGTGTGAGAAGAATGGTAGAAAGGTGGAAGAGAATAAAGACAGGAATAAGAGGAGAACCCAAAGGAAACTGTACGTAGTGTAAGAAAAGGTTCGATGTAGTCTGTCCAGTCTCCTTCGGTTTCAGACTGGGAGAGTGACGGAACACTGGCTATCTATAAGATCCTGAAGAAGAGGTTGCGGAGAACGTGAGAGAAAAGCTTCCATGTACCTTTCTATGAAGTGCCTAAAGAGTCTAAGCTCAAGCAAGAGGAAGTTAGATTCGAGAGATGAATGTCTGAAGAAATAGACTTGCTTAACATACCCTTTTTAACTGTCCTACAAGGCCTGTGCTGCTGTTCTGTGACATAATCGCTTCGCACTGAGTAAAACCCTTGAATTATACAAAAAAAAAAGTATGTCAGTGTAGAATTTGTGTTTATGTCCATTCGACCATTCACTTGAATGTTTCTATATATGTAATCATTATATGCAAGCACCATCAAATTCATTTCTAATAAAAATGCACACCTCCATGTATTTCTGCCGGTATATACAAGGCTTCACACACTCCTACTTTAAACCAGAAATTGGGTCCCAAAACCTAGACATGTTTGCCACCCTATAACACATCCTATTTCTTATCTCTCCTTAGATAATCCTATCTCCTTCGCATTGAAGAATCTTCGACACTTTAACCTCGCAGACTCAGCCTAAGAATACCCGTCCTTCCTTACTGAAACATCAAAATTAAGAGTTTGTGATTGAGAAACAGCCATGGATGGAGGAGCGCCAAGGGACCTCTGGACTCTCGAAGCACTGGACTTCTTGCACTCGGATTCTCGGACTTCTTGGTCACTGGCTTGAAGTATAGACTGTCGGAAGACCCGTGGATGAAAAAAAAAATCCTTTTAATACATCTACTTCATCTCGAACTTTATAATTTGTTAATGTGTATTTGAGCTGTCTTCACACCTTGGAATCCTTTTGTTGTGGTTAAATTGTCTTTAGCTTACGTGTCTCTTGTCAGTTTTCTTTACCTGGAGATGCATAAAAACAAGGATAAATGTCTGTTGCTTTACAAAGTAGAAAATCACACCTGAGGTTATGATTACGCTTTTAAGATTGTTTTTTTCCAGTCTATCTTAGCCAGTTGAGTCCGGATATCAAGAGTCCAGCATTCTCAAAAAAGTGAATACGTTCTAGGCATCACCCTGCGCCAGTGAGGACGGTTAAACTCTGTGTACCAAACGATAACTATACTTTCACAGTTTCTTTTGTTGTCTTTGAAATCGCGTTTCAAGAAAGTTGTTTGTTTTTATTTAGTTTTGTGATTTAATTCCTTCCTTGTGACTGATATCACCGCTTGAGTGCCATATCCTTTAACAAGGCAAGAAGCAGGGAAGTGCAACAGGTAGAGCTCTGCGTGGGCGGTCCAGCGATCGTGGACTTCCTGGAACACAACACTTCCTTCCCACTTTTCTTCCTCATGCGAAGAACTCCGGGTCAGCAAACGGACCTTGCCATGTCGGTCGCGAAACTGCGCGTTTGAAATGGAAATGGAGAGCCGATATAGCATGGCACAGTGCCACATTCTGGCTACGAGAAGCCCTGGGAAGAAGGCCTTCGAATATATTGTCATAAGTACTCTAGATTGGATCCATATATATATATATATATATATATATATATATATATATATATATATATATATATATATATATATGTATACACACACACACACACACACACACACACACACACACACACACACACACACACACACACACACACACACACACACACACACACACACACACACACACACACACATATATATATATATATATATAATATATATATATATATATATATATATATATATTATATATTCACACACACGTTATATATGTATACACACTCATGCATGTGCATACTCACACACACAAGCTATGCGTTCGATAAACTCTCCAGAGTCATGGACACTTAAAACGCATATTATGTATCAAATTACACAATACATAATCACTGAAATTATCATCATCAGTATAGTCAACAATATCTTAGCCTTAAGTACTTCTTCAATTTACACATATGAGCATATCCATCCATATATATATATATATATATTATATATATATTATATATATATATATATATATATATATATATATATATATATATATATATATATATATATATATATATATATATATATATATATATATATATATATATATATATATATATATATATATATATATATATATATATATATATGTCTTACATATATTCTGTGCAAGACTTCCTTACATTACTACGGTAATTTTTTTTCTGACATAATATCTCTTTTCAATAAAATATCTCAGAGTAAACACTGTGTTTACCTTATTCTTTAATCAAAAAATAAATATGTGTCTCTGTACACCCGCGGGGAGCATCTTAGACCTAATTAACACATGGCATGAGCTCTGCGCAGTAACCATGGGACTTGAACGCATCATAAGGCGTGGAACAGAAACGTTTTTAACGTTGTTTTAAATCATGCATTCACAAACGTTCACAAAGTACTTCTTTCCAGTATAAAAATAGGGAAGCTTGGGAAGATGTCGTCCTAAAACAACAATGAATAGAAAAAATGAAAAGGAAAATCGTCTTAAAATAAGAATGAATCAAATGAAAAAAATATATATAAATGCTCTTAGACATTTGATTATGCAGAATTTGGAAAAAATGTAAGCCCTATCACGTAATTTAATGACTCCAAGTTTTAAAAGATGGATGCCCTAAAAGGGAATTTAGAGCGGAGATTCCCTAACACAAGGTAATGTATCCGCTTCATTTCTTAAGATAATTCCAGGTACAGACCAATAATAGTACCTTCACTTCGACACGGCACTGAATCTATTGTATTGCAAGCGAAGAGAAGGGAGTACACTCGTATTGCACACACGGACATTCCCCCACGGCTGCTAAGTACTTCCAAATACCATTTAGGCGATATACCCAAGCTTTATTATCGCAATATCGCCTCTTTAAACTCACTGGCGATGCACGACGAGGGGAACGACCCTTCTCGCCGGCGCTGACGAGGAACTGGGCGGTCGCAGGTGCAGCGGGAAGCGGCGGCGAGGGCGTGGGCTGAACCGCGACGGCTGCGGGCGGGAGGAACCTTACGCTACGTCACAACACTTGCTCTTCACAACACGTCAATCGGGGGTGAATCAGGCGTTCACGAGTTGCTTCGTTTGTTTCATGACACGCGGCACCGCTTTTATGCTGGCGACAGTGAGTTACATTGACACTGTATTTTATAGACGTAGGCAGCGCGAATGACACTGGCGCGGCGGGGTTCTCGTCATGGCAGTATGAATTACACTGAGACAGCTGGATTTGCTAATTATACTGAGAGAGCATAAGTCAGTGCGAGTCACACTGAGATACACATCGATGAGGTACACAAACTAGCATACTTTGTGTTTTTGGCTCCTACAGAAGCTGTTGGCAAGCAGCTGTACTATAGGTATTTGGCACAAGGAACTACGCTACGTATTAGAAAATAATAATAATACAATTCTGAGATTCTCTTACATATAAGAGATGATAACGCGGCGATTACTCTTTCGTTGGGACCAGCATCAGCAGCCCACAACGCTGACAACCATACTAGTAACACCACTATAATCATTCCGTCTGGTGGTTGACATATTGTAAAAAAAGGGAACATCATCCTCCGCCGACGATGCCATGTCTCCAAGGCGACGAAATTCCTCCTGCAAGTCCCCGCGAGTAAGTGACTGGAGTCGCCTCCGCCCCGTTACACCTTGCACTCGCTCTCGGGCAGCCGGTCGGCGGTGGAGCCGTTCTTGCTGAGCCAGAGCTCCCTGTCCATGAGGGCGCGCTCCTCCTCGCCCTCGCTCTCGCCGCTGCTCGCCTCGGCCTCCTTCCTGCCGGCCTCCTCGTCCTTGGAGTCCTTCTTGTGCGGGTCCGAGAAGACGCTGTCGTTGGCGGCCGAGCTGCTGTGGCCTTCCGGGATGGCCGAGAGCCTGCCCTGGGGGGCGATGGCCCCGGCCCCGCCCCCTGCGGCCGAGGGCGGGTCGCCGTCGCACGAGACGATGGAGTCCCCGGGGTTGCCGGCCGAGTCGAAGCGCGGCCGCGTCGAAGTGTTGGGGTGCGGCGGCTTGGACGAGATGCTGGCCTTCTCCCAGAAGAACCTGCGGCCGTGGTGCTGCTTGAGGCGCGGGAACACCCTCGCCAGGCACTCCACGTACGCGTCGCGGTACTGGCGGTTCATGAGCACGTACACCACCAGGTTGAGGCAGTACTGGATCCAGTACAGGATGTGCAGGAAGAGGAACCTCACGGGGTGACTCACCAGCGGGTCGAAGGTGTGCACCATCATGACGGGGACGCTGCACACCAGCACCAGCACGAAGATGATGAAGATGGTGCGGGCGACGCGCATGTCCCGCCGGCTGGTGTTGAGGCGCTGGCTCACCGTGGACGACTGGTGCGTGCTGCGGGGGGAGGGGGTGGGTCAGCCGGGCTACAGGTGGGTCAGGCTAGCAATTACCGTAACAATTATCTATTCGAAATGCTTTGGTGACAGATTCTCCATGCATGAAAGAGCCGAAGAGCAGTTTTGGAGAAATTTAAAAAAAACATTCAAAAGGAAAACCCTTCATATGCAATGACACAACAAACTTATATACAGATTCACACGAAACGGCCCACAACCTTTGTAGTATAATTCAATATTTCACGCTGGTATTAGACCAACTAAGCTACAAGAACGCCTTTGCCACTTACCGCCTGCCGTTCAAGTGCCTGGCTGCACGGACGCTACAAGGGCAAAAGCAAGAGGTTAAACGCAGCTACAAGAGTCCAACAAGCAGCATTAGCAGTGGAAAACCGTGGCTTTGGGTGGGGGAGGTGTGGAGGGGGGGGGGGAGTGCAGGGCAGTTCTTGTTTTGATTTTTTATGTTGCTTTAGACGCGCTCTGATGAAGACGTTTGGAGTGTGACTAAGCTGCGTCTTGAACTTTACAAGCTGGGACGATTTTAGTGTATACAAGGATATCTTTATAAAGGTTTTAATCCAACTCTACAGATTTAGAATCGGTTTTAGACCAAAAATTCTTAGATCATTATCAAAATTTACCATTCAAAATATCCGGCTGAACCAATAACAGGCATAAGGCTATCATGCCCCAAAGACAGAAACCAAAACTTTAGCATTTTCATGATTAAGAATTACAATTACGATAATCGGCTTTATGACAAGCAAAGGACCAACATCCCGAAAGTGCAAAACGAGGTCGTCGGATGTTCGTCCAGTCGAAGGCAACGGCAGAAGCGTGAAGGGATGTGATTATCCCAATCTTAAGCGACGAGGGATGTTTGGAAGAGCATCGGGGGGGTGGGGGGTGGGGGGGGGGTTATTCGAGATGATGATAGTTCTCAAATTTGCAAAAAGGCGAATGGGAATGGCGTGGGAGGGATAGCACTGTTTCTACTCCCACATATTAACCCTTTGAAATGCATATAACCATGTGTATGTATGCATGATTTATAAATGTAAACACACAGACGCCCATACGCAGAATTATATATGTATATATATATATATATATATATATATATATAATATATATATATATATATATATATATATATATATATATATATATATATACGTATATATATGTGTATGTGTGTGTGTGTGTGTGTGTACCCCGCATACATGTATTCATATACGTGTGTATATACTACGTAACTCCTAAACAAAATAATGCCACAAAAATGTACAAAAATGACGTTAGCAAATGTTAAAAAAAACGATGCATATCATAGAAAACCACATACAATAAAACACATAAAACATTTTTCTTAACATGACAAATATAATAACATGAAAATAACATGAGGGGAATAAAAAAAATACGAAAAATGGATATTAGGATTTAGTGGATATATGTTTATTGGTGTGGATAATTATGGCGAAAACTATGTCATCTAAATTGAATTAATTGAATTGAGTTAATTAATTGTCTAAGTGGTGTATTTAGATATTTATTTTTCCCTCTGGTGATAAATGGTGAGGATGGTGATGGTGATGATAATGATGATGATGATGATGCTGACGAAGACGATGATGATGAGATGACGATGATGATGATGATGATGATGATGCTGATGATGATGAATGATGATGATGATGATGATGATAATGATGATGATGATTGATGATGGATGTGATGTTGATATTAATGTTGATGTTAATGGTGATGCTGGTGGTGGATATGATGACGATGATGATCATGGTTATGATGATGATGACGATGACGATGATGATAATCATGATCATGTTCATGTTCATGATGATGATGACGATATGATGATGATGATGATGATGCGATGATGACGACGACGGTGATGGTGATGACAGTAACGATGATGAAGATGTTCATGTTCATGGTAATGATGGTGATGATGAGAAGGAGGAGGAGGGTGTTGATAGGTGATGCTGGGATATGATGATTGATGATGTTGTTCATGTTGATGATGATGATGATGATGATTGATATGATGATTACGATGATTGATTGATTATGATGATGATGATGAATGATTGATGATGATGATGATGATGATGTTGATGTTGATGATGATGATGATGATGATAATGATGAAAATTACGATGATGTTGATGATGATTATGATGATTATGATGATGATGATGATGATGGATGATGATGATGATGACGATGACGATGATGGTGATGACTGATGATGATGATATCATGTTTTCATGGTAATGATGGTGATGAGGAGAAGGAGGAGGAGGGTGTTGATATGATGCTGGTGGTGGAAATGATGACGATGATGATGATGTTCATGTTGATGTTGATGATGATTGCCATGGTGATGATAATGATGAAAATGACGATTATGTTGATGATGATTATGATGATGTTGATGATGATGATGATGATGATGATGATGATGATTTCATGTTGATGTTGATGATGATGATGATGATGATGATGTTCGATGCGATGATGTTGATGTGATTATGATTGATGATGATGATGATGATGATGATGATGATGATGATGATGATGTTGATGTTGATGATGATGATGATGATGAGGAGGATGAGGAGAAGGATGTGATTTCATATTAATGTTGATGTCGATGACGAAGACAGTAACGATTATCATTATCATCATTGTCCTCACCATTATTGTCATTATTGCCACAGTCATCATTTCCATCATTATCATTATCAATTAAATTATTACAACTATCCACACTCTTAGTATTAGTATAAATATTTCTGCTGTTATCGCTCTATCATATTATCCTTATCTTTTTCATTCTCGTTATCATAATTTTTAGCTTTGATATTCCCAATGATAATAGCATAATCAAGAAGGTCGGTGGATATGATGCGATAAAGATGGTGATAAAGATGATAACGATGACGAAGAATATGTAAAAAAAAAAAAAAAAAAAAAAAAAAAAAGAAAAAAAAAAAAATCTTCGCATGTCTAAGCTGTCATGTCATGTCAGGATGTCATGTCAAGATGTCATGTTAAAGGTCACGGCAGGGGGGAAATGCATGATTTGCCGTACGAACGCAACTTGCATGTTTCTCACTACATGGAGAATAAGAATTTGATATTTCTGTCAAAAAAAAATATATATTGTAGACAAAATAATGATAGATGACTGAGAATAGAGGAGAATGGAAAGGGGAAATAGTGAAAGGGAAAAAAGTTGCTTCATTTTTATCTATCTACTTTTTGTTGATAAGGTTTAATAAGATACGTATTATAAAATATTTTGAAAAGGACTTGTACTATATTTTTATTTTCCTTATAATTTTGTTTAATTAATTGAGAGGATGTAATATGATCATGATAAATAAAGATGATGATATGAAATATGATAAGAATTTTAATGAATAGGAAATGAGAAAAAATGATATAAAAAGATGAATATGAGAAAAAAAGGATAAAAAGATGAATAAAGTGCAAGCGAATAAAAGGAGATAAATGTTAAGGATATAGAGAAGATAAAGATAAAAATGTAAACAAAGAGAAGCTGAGAATGTTTTAGAGATGTATGCAAAGGGACAGCATTGCAAGCCGTAGTGAAAGGTCTATGTACAAGAGAATGCAACAAGAAAAGATGGAGAAGAAGAAAGAGAAGAAGATGAAAGTCATGAAGCTCGAATAGAAAGAGAATGGGAGGATAAGAAGGAATGAGAAAAGGGAAATGAGATGATGAAATGGGGTAAGAGAGAAGGGAATAAATATTTCGAAGAGAGAAGTGCATAAACGGAGATGAAACGACGACTCATGACAGAAAGAAGTAGAAGAAGAAGAAGGAAAGTGAAGATAGAGAACGCAAGATTCAAAAACATAGACAAGGAGATCCAGGAAGAAAAAAGAGAAGAGAGAAAATAAAAAAAAAAAACAATAACAGAAACAAAAAAACAGAACGGAAGCATAGCCATGAGACTCACAAACGAGCTCTGAGATTCGACTCGGACACCATCTTCTTCAGGCTCTTGAAGCTGGAGTTCGATCCCTTGCGCTGGTTCGTGGCGGAGGTGGAGGAGGTGGAGGTGGTGGAGGAGGCAGCCGGC